CCCCTCCAGCACCCAAAACAGGAGGCGGAGGCGGAAAGCTCTGTCTAGTCTTTTATTAGATTCCGTTTCCAATATGCCTGTATTGGAAGATTAGGAGACAAAAAAGGCACAAACTCACATTGAAAGAAACAACGAGATCATCTAACCCATTCTACAAAGTGTGTTGCCAAAGGAAAAAGCACGATGAACCCACCAGAACGTGTCGGGGGGGACCCAGCGGGGACGAACCCAGAGAGGTGCAGTGGGGCAAGCGGCCCCGTCAGCAAACCGGCCTGAGCCGGGGCTGCGACGAGGCACCCGCCTCCAGCCCCCTGAAACCCACCCCGCGTGGGTGGGGGAGAGGGTCACAGCACAACCGTCACCCTAGAGCAGACCGAGAGCCCAGCCCCTGCGGCAGCCGGCGGGCTGAGGGTTTCTTGCCAAAGCCGATGAAAGGTACAGCACGGGCTGCTGCATCTTTGCTACCAGTGGGAACCAAGCGCCTCGTAGGATTTGCCTATCCCAAGGCTGAGGGATGCTTTCACTTCGGGTTAAACTGGAAGGAAAGAAAGCAAGGGGGGGCAGGGCGGGGGAGGGGGTATTCAGGCTGGAGTTCCTGCATGTTCATTTTTTACCCCATTTTTTTCCACTAATCAGGAAAGCTTTGTGTAAAAGCTCTTACTCTGAAATCAGAGGATCAAAAAAGGATTGCAGGGTGGAATGTTACAATCTGCTTCCACAGGGATTAGTGTCGTTGGACGGAAAGCCTCTTGGGTAACACAGACGGAAAGAACAAGTGTGCTATGCACGTTCCCAGGTTGTCCTCAGCGTAAGAATCCCCCAGAACGTAACCCACAAACACGACAGACGTCAGTGCATAAATTCTCAGCCACAAGTACTTTAAACCGAAAGAACTATAACTGGGGCCCACGCTCCTGGAATACTTCTTGAACAGCTACAGAAGATGCCACGAAACATCCTGGTCCCAAACAGCCTCGCGGATTTAAAATTTAGTTTCTTTTTTTTTTTTTCTATTTTACAATAAATTTGTTTTGCTTCTGCCAGGTGAGATTGCTAAAAACCCCTCAAACCCACCCCCACCCCGCCAAACCGCCTGAGGACGCTGAGAAGAGCCTGCCAGAGTCACTGGTACAATTCAGAGCTTATTGCACTTCGACATGAGTAAGGCAAAATAACAAACTGAAAATAAAGGGATAAACTGCCCCCTCCCCAGAAACCAAGCGCCATCCTCTCCCTCCAGAGCACGCCTCATCTTCCCTCGCACTGAAAACAGCTCAGATCCCAGCACGCGCTTCTCAGCACGGCGCGGGATCATCTGGGATCTCCTGCTTGCAGGAGCATGCAGGGCTGAAGGAGTCGGATGTAGCACAGAATGCCAAGCAGACTCCTCAAGAAGTGGTGGTAAACCCACGACTGCGTTTGGCATTCAGTGTTTCGTGTTAGTGCCGCCAAATACAGAAGTGGAAAATAAAGTGATTACTACTAGGAATAAAAAAAAGAAAAATCAAACATTGGGCCTGCAGCATAAGCAAAGAAATTGTTTTTCTCATATGTATTTAATAAAGCAGCATTTCTTTGATTCTGTTCTGCTTATTTGATTGTCTAAAGCTGATATCAACGTAAGGACAGTTACAGTAAGTGTGTTCATTAAACAACCAGAGCTCTTTACATGTTTAACAGTATCCTTTGATTTATAACTGACAGACAGCCTAGAAAACAACTGAGGGTCTTTATAAGTTGCTTTTTTATAGCATAAAGGAGATGTTTTAGTCATTCTTGCAACGGGAAGAATATTATTGCTGAGCAGAACCACCAACCCAAGCACCTGGATGTGATCAGATACCGAAACTTTACTCATACACCACCTTTTCTACATCCCAATTTGTCCAGGGAGAACCACATTATTGTTAGTAGAAACAGTTTTAGCTTTGCAAGTTATGGGAAGTCTTAGTAACTAAAGAACCAGGAAGTTGCAACATGTACCAGGCAACTTTTTGTGATGATTTTGTAAGACTGACGCACAGAGCTGAAGGCCAACGTAGCCACGAGGGCCAAGGGGACCACGTACCACTACACTGAAACTCAGCTGTCGTGTGTTGAAGGGCCTGGCATGGGGACACCGAATGCAGCTTCTGTGCAGTCCTGAATTCATGTGTGCCAAGACAGAACCAAGTAATGGCGGGCAGAAGCCACGTATCACGATTCATGGCAGACCAAGAGCTGTATCTGGCTACTCCTGATTACACAGTCAAATTACATGCCATTAAATTTCTTACCCTGGGAGCAAGGGTCAGAGCACAGCGTTTTGTAGAATAGTTTTGCACTCTAAAATACTGACAGTTTCCCTCTCCAAACAGACATTCAAAGAATGGTGAAGGGCTGGGCAGGAACAAAGGCGGCAGTTTATCCCACTTGGAAAAAAAAAAAAAAAAAAAGAAAAAATCTAAGTCACCACATCACAAGACTATTTTAGCTAAAAATGTCACTTAGAAATCAAACAGGGCCACATGGAAATTGGTCTGAACACAATGAAAAAAAAGGAGGGAGGAGTCGTAAATACAGCGATCTCTAAGTCACACGTCTCCAAGGAGCTACCTCCTTCATACACGTGCTAACACTGGAGTGCTTAGTACCAGACGGTCTATTTGCTCACAATATTAAGGGGCATCTAGAATTAGCTATGGGAGATTTAAAATCGCCTGCCGGTTGGATACAGAAAGGCTTGATCCAGAGATGGTCCGTCAGTCAGTAGTGTGGATTCCCCGGGCCTTCCTGATGACTGTCTTGCAAACTGAAATGAAGAGACAACAGAGAAACATTTGAGAACCACTGCGGAAGAGCAGCGTGCCGAGAAGTGTCCGACTGAACCTTCAGAAAGCGTGAGACACTCTGTCACCAGTGCCGACACACTGCTGCATCATCACATTTCAGCACTAATCCAGAGCAGAACTTCCAACATAGCCTAAAAATTACAAACAGAAGTTGCAATTCAAACAACCTAACGACTCCAGAGGCTACAATACAACTGAGATCACCACTCCTTCACTACAGCCCTGGGACTTGACCAACAAAGGCAAATTCACAGACGCTCTCCAGTAGGACAGCCCCTCCCCTGCCAAGTTAGCGTACTCAGAATGGAACAGAAGACAAGCCCAAAGCTCTAAAACTGTCGTTGCTGCTTTCCCTGCAACGTGCAAGAGCTGCTCCAGGCCTCGGCCCAACAGCAAACACTGCTAACGAACCATGTGAGAAATACATTCCAAATGTATTTTCAAGGAATTTTCAATTCTCAAGTGTATTCTAAGTATTTGCAGGTCCAACTTACTGTTTTGGGACCGACAAGTTTCTCTGCAAGTCATGGGAGGTAATGCATGCAGAATAAGGAAAGAAATGAGGATAGCAGGAAAGTCTACAAAATGTTCTAACACACTTTCCTTACACTCTTCACTCAAACATTTCTTTAGAACAGTTCCAAAACCCAGCAGAAAACTCGCTCGTTAACCTGTCTGTATAAAAACAATTAATACCACAGATTTGCCTATGAGAAGCTATGAGCAGGATCATTTCTTACCCAAATATATTTTTTATCCTAAATAGAGCACTAAGTTTTGTCAAACTCTTGATACCTACAGTGCACAAGGAAGAAGTCATGTTAGTCATCTGCAGCCGTCATTCCTTTCACCGGGTCTTTTTCTCTCATCTGAAAGAGGAAACACTATTCAAGTACTGATTCTCACATGATATCTCAAAATTTATTGGTATGGAACATGTTAAGCTACCTCCTTTATGTAAGACACTGATTGTATCTGAGCATCCCAAGCCAGCGCATGTCAACAGCACAGGCAGGCCCCACTTTTGGTTAAGCTGCAGATCTCCTGGGGATCTGGGGCTATTATCCAAAGGGCAGAGTGTACATGAAACTATAATGAAATATCACGAGGCATGAAGGAAGAGAAGGGTGCAGTGTAGGACACGAATCATGCAACAGTGTACTCAACACTCCCAAATGCGTGTTTCTCAGAGCAAGAACCCCGTTACATACTCCCACTGCCTGCTTACACTGCTTAGAACTAAACAACCTTTTACTGCACTGGGTTTTGGATACTAACGAGGACAGAAATGACCATTCAGCTTTGGGCAAAAGCTAATAGAAGACAGTAAAGCAGTAAATGCATTACTGCCACTCACACCCTCACCACCTGTGGTTCAATACATTTATTGGCTCAACAACAAACAGAAATCCATAATGATCAGAAGGAGACGCCAGCACGAGGGAGTCACAGCCAGTCACGCAAACCCCAAGCAGCATGACCTAAATAGCAGAAGGACAATACACACTGCACTATGACAGTGCAGCAGTCTTTCCTCTCTCTCTCTCTCTGGATAGGAACAGTTTCTCACACAACCCACACCTGCCCTGCTTTTCCACTGACCTCATCCAGCTGTCTCTTGGTCTCCTCCTCCATCCTACGGATGTCCTCCATAGTCAGATCAACCCACTTATCAAGCCAGCAGAAGAGCTGCCGATGGAAGTTTGTGAAGAGACGTTTTTCTTGCTGCAAAAGGAGGAGGAATAAAACATACAAGTGAGGTTACTCATAGGACAATTAATATGGATCTAAGTGGATCATAACAACTTTCAGAGATGTGTACACTGAAGAACCAGTTCCCTCGCCCACCTTTTAGACAGCTGCCACAATTGGAAACGGGAGCTAGCTCATTTTTATTCTTTCAACAGAATATCTAGAGCCTTGAATCCCCAGAGAAATGCATTTTTTAAAGCCTAGACAGCAGCCTGCACGTGCACTGAAAGAATTAGTGAATGCTGTAGTAATTTCCCTTGATTTGACAGCATTGTTCTGAGTGAATAAGGCGCTCCAGGTTGGGTTTACTTAGTGCATCTGAAGAGGCAGAAAAAAGGAGAAACAGAATAAAAGTATTTTTAAAACAATCCTTGACTTGCTAAAAACTGGAGGTTAGCAAGTGTAAGGGGTTGACATGCACCTACCTTGCTTTTTTCTTTTACAGTGACCTAAAAAAAGCCTAACCTTGTTTTCCACAGCTGAAAACCTTCAGCAGAGGTAACTAATGTGCACAAGCTACTTCAAGTTAGGAGCAATTTACTCCTATTTTACATGAGATAAGCTAGACAAAATCATCATATTAGACAGGGCTGTACAATGCCTCTTGGGAACTTCTCATTAAGGAAGGACACTTCAGTGTTACCAATTATGGTTTCCCATCGGATAACTTGCTCTCATCAAAAGCAGCTCGACTACTTTGACGCAAACATGTGGCTGAAGAGACACTCAGAGAGAGGGATTCAAGACACTGCTTTGTTCAGGGCTTTGGTTACAGGCATCTGAAACCCTGCAGCACCATGGTCATCCCCCCTAGAGTCCTCTTTAGGCTGTATCATCAGAGAATTGCTTTTGCAGAAGCAGCCCTGTAGTTTATCAATATTAACCACTGCAGTCTCCATGACTGGAAGTCATAGGCATTTCTGCTGGTTTTGGCTGGGACAGAGTTAATTTTCTTCCTAGTAGCTGCCATGGGGCTGTGTTTTGGATTTAGAATGAGAATCATGTTGATAACATCCTGATGTTTTAGTTGTTGCTAAGTAGTGCTTACACCAGTCAAGGACTTTTCGGCTTCTTGTGCCCTGCCAGCAAGGAGTTGGGAGAGGGCACAGCTGGAACAGCTGACCCCAACTGACCAAAGGGATATTCCAGACCATATGGCCTTTGTTTTCCCAAGTCCCTATTCCATGTGATGGAGCCCTGCTTTCCTGGGTATGGCTGAATCCCTGCCTGCCCATGGGAAGTAGGGAATGAATTCTTTGTTTTGCTTTGCTTGCGTGTGGCTTTTGCTTTACCTGTTGAACTGTCTTTATCTCAACCCACGAGTTTCTCACTTTTACTCTTCCCATTCTCTCCCTCATCCTGCTGGGGTGGAGTGAGCGAGTGGCTGTATGGTGCTGAGCTGCTGGCTGGGGTTAAACCACAGCAGCGTTTTATGAACACAGCACTGACTGGAAAATGGCACATACCGATCCCCAGGTCTAGCATGCTGCTGCAGCTCATGGGTTGTGAACTCTGCCACAGCAAAAGCTCTTTTCAGGATACCAATGACTCACGTTTTAACTTAATGAAGTTTCCCACCATCTGCTTATTTTTTAACACAGGTTTTTCAAGCAGCAGACTAGGAGAGGAAAACATGACCAGAACTCTAGGACTTGCCAGAAAGATCCTCAGCTGATTAGGATCAGTAACTGAAGCTGTAGCTATCTCCCCACAAAAACATCTCGCCCCTGACCAAAATAACCCTGGTACATGCATCATCTCATCATTCCCAAATCAACTACCAAATGCCTGCAGTTCTCAGGCTGATCTATTAAACAGCGCAGAACAGCCAGTTTACTTTCACACATTAGAGTGAAAATGGTTCAATAGCTAATTCACAGAACAATCAGCCAGCCCTTGGATGAGTAGCAAACTGAATCCAACTTTAACTGACTGCAGCATATCAGGCAGAGGCCTCGGCTGTACCACCTGAGGTGACATGACTCAGTCTGGAGTTAGTATCTCCAGGCAGGATACATTATTAGAAGAAGCTGACGTGCTAAAGCAGATGGGAGATAAACATGGCTCATTTCCACACCTCTGCCCATCGAAGAGCTCACTTACCTTCTGTATAAAGTTCTCAACTTTATTTTGCAGACCCCACCACTTGAACTTGACTGTTACCAGTTTGTAAGCACACATGTACGGACAATCCGTCTGCTTCCCCAGCTCCTTCTGCGAAGACACAAAGGTAATCACACCACGACACAGGTCAATTGTCTCCAGGAAAGCAGCTCCTTCAGTCCTAACTATGAAGTCTTTCCACAGTTCCTCACAATCATTCTCCAGGAAAGCAGCTCCTTCAGTCATAACTATGAAGTCTTTCCAATCACCTTGCATCTTTACACCTTGCCTATCTTCTATTGACAGGTTTTGCCACACCTTTGCTCACCCCTTTTCCAAGGCACTGAAGAGCACGATGAAAACAGACCTGCATTTCCTCCGCAGGTGGTCTTCCCTCACCTTTGGGAATGGCCCATTCCTTCCCCTCCTCTGTTCTACATTTTTTCTTCCATTAAAGTTATGTCTTTCAATATCTTCGCTGTTATGCCATGGCTACTCAGTTTCCCTAAAAGTCTTTGGGCAAAGTCCCTATTTAAAATGTTTTGGAAAGAGATGATATCATCTGAGTCATCCACATAATTACCAAGCCTTACAGAAAACTCCACAAGGTTTGTAAGGTGGGACTGTTGTACTTCCTTTTACAGGAGTCATATCCCCTCTTGCCAAGTGAATCATATCAACCTCAACTTCTACTAAGTTTGCCTACTACAGGTCAGACTTGCACACCCACAGCTCCCCAGATCCCATTCAGGGGCCCTTCTAAAGCCTGGTATCATATTTGCATTTCTAGAGTCTTCAGATTCCAAAGATGGAAGTGAAAGGTTAAACACTGTTGCTCATAACTCAGCTATTTCGTCCCTGAATCCTCTTGGGTGAACCCTTGGGCTGAACACCAGACAGCTCTGGCAATTTCTTGGAACTCATTCTATTTGTACCTAACTCTTCCATTTCCTTTAACTTCAGAGCAGATCACCAGCCGAGTTCTGCGTTTCCTTCTACAGAAGCAAATCCAGGTTTTTACATGTATCCCTTTGGCTCCAAGCCCGAGTGTCTATACTTCAGTCATGCAAGCTGAGAAGTGCCTGAACTCATGCCATACATACCTTCCAGTTGGGACCTAAAGGTCCACGTCCAGTCTTGACAGATTTAAATTTTGCTGGATCTTCTTCTGCCTTGTAATCCTATTGGACAGACACACAAGATTAAACAAATTATCCCACTGTTACCCAGCTGCTCGTTGTCACAAAGGATTTCTTTATCTGGTGGGCAAAGACTAACCTCTAACTGCCTTCTCAAGAGCTACTGTTTTCAGACTTCCACACTAGGTCAGGCACTCTCCAAGGAAACATATTTCTCCCCCCTGTGCTGTGTCCTAGACCTATTTGAAGAAGTGGTAACAAACTGATGTGACCTTTGTACGGACTCTTTTGAGGTAAGATTATCAGATCTGTAAACCCTCAGGGTAGGTTTCCTGTAAACACTCATTCTCTGGGAGCTAAACACTGCTGCTGCAGAAAATCCCTGTGCTCCCTGGAGCTGTGGGATCTAGTGTTTTTCCCAGCACTATATCTGTATGATGCTCATGTACTGCACACTAGAAGACAAGGGTAGTCAAACTCACAGTACCACCAAACAGAAAGAGGTATCACAGCAAGTGATTTGCAGCCTTCCCTTCCTGCATCCTGGATACTCTACTCCTACCCCCAGTTCAACTAAAATGAAAGCAAACTCAAATCATCATCAGTTTAGTGCCAAAAGTGATCAATTAGTAGCATCTTTTTCTGGACTCTTCTGCTCCAGGTGAATTCTCCTTGCACTCTGACAGCATTTAACTCAAAGAAGTCTGTAATTGCAGGTACAGCCTAGTACCTGCCTAACCTATCGGAATCAGAAGCTCCTCATGTTCTACCAGTTCATCTTTATTGGAGAGATAAGCTAAAATAAGTACGAGTTCCGTTTTAATAGCCAAGGCCAAATTTGGGAACAGGTAAATTAGTCATATATGAATGGTATCAGAAACACTAAGTGGAGAATCTCAAACAATATTCCACTTCTATATAGTGGGTTTTTTTCCAAGACTGTACAGAAACATCCCTTACTTTCTTACTGTAACTGTCGTGACTCTTAGAACCAAGTATTAGCTACATGATTTCCAGATACACTTGTTTTCCTCCTCTTTCCGTCCTCTCATTTGTCCTGTTACCTGTAACCATCCCCGGGAATACAGTTTCTACATTACCCCTCTCCCAGCACAAGGCCTCCCACACTGGGGAGCTCTTACCCACCTACCGTACCTTGGGAAGTACTTGACTCCGATCAGCAATGTCTATATAAATAGCTTCTACATTCTTCCATACATCTGGCTCCAGTTTATGAACCTGCAGCGAAAGCACAAGGTTATGGGAACAGATTCAACTACACCACAGTCCCATTCTAAGGCCGTAAAAAACAGATGGAGGTGCAGCCATGCAGTGTTCCCCTCCCACGTACGGAGAGGACACACCATGGTACACACACAACAAGATCTTCTAAAGCAGCAAAGGTGCTCACACAGAACACGTGACGGGGTCAATTTTATTCAGCGTATATGACAAGTCAGTGAGAGGGAGTCTCTGCCTTGCTAATGCGATAAGCATCTCAAATCCAGGAACCCAGTGAGTAGCTGGCCATAGTTTAGGCCTAGCCAGCAACAAAAGACCATGTGGCCACTCGCTCGCTCCTCCTCAGGGAGGGAGGACTCCTCACGCTCTGCCCCTGCTGCCGTGTGGGTCCCTCCCATGGGAGACAGTCCTCCATGACCTCTCTGACACGGGTCCTTCCCATGGGCTGCAGTTCCTCAGCAACTGCTCCAGCCTGAGTTCCTTTCATGGCGTGCTTCAGGAGCAGCCTGCTCCAGTACGGGCTTCCCATGGACTCACGGGCTCCTCGGGCACAGCTGCCTGCTCTGGCGTGGGGTCCTCCCTGGGCTGCAGGCAGGTCACTGTCCCCACGTGACCCTCCACAGCTGCAGGGCACAGCCTGCCCTCTCACCACAGGCTGCAGGGGAACCTCTGCTCTGGTCACCTCCTCTCCTCACTGACCTGGCTGTCTGCCCAGTTGTCTCTAACATCCCACTCCTCTCTCCACACTGTTTCCACTTCCACTGCTGGTTCCCTTTTTGGTTTCCCCTGCCCTTAAATAGGTCGCGCACAGAGGCTCTGACAGGCTTGGGCATGGCCAGAGGCGGGTCTGACTTGGAGCCAGGAGAGCTCAGAGCAGCTTCTCACAGGAGGCACCCCTGTGGCCCCATCCCCTGGTACCAAAACCCCCCATCACACAAGCTCACCACTCAGTTCCATGCGGCAATTCTCTAATCCAGCACAGAAAACAGCATTGTGACATTAAAGAGGGAAATAAAACACACGACACAAGTACTCACATTCTCTTGTGTTCCAAGATCTGATTTATGCCAGGTCTCAATTTTGATCAGGAAGTCATCCTTCATATACTCATTCTGTCATCAAAACAAAGCCTCTTGTTAGTCTTTGGATATATAACTTGGCTTCTAGATAGCTAGATAAGCAGTAGGAAAGGCAACTCAAAGAATTACAAGGTGATTAGGGTTTGACTTAGGGAATTTGAGAATTACCTGTGAGCACATCACTGCTTTCAGAAAAATCATCTGATGACTACGTAAGGTGAAATAAACCACAAGCTGTTCACTGAAACAACTTAAGTTCCATTGTTTTAGTGAAACATTTGGAGTTGATAGTTTGTTTTTTTAAAGGACAGCATCTGCCACTCTATTCAGAATGGTTAACGTAAGTTAACTAGGCAGCCACTGTTGTCAGAGATTACTGATCTAGCACCGAGTACCTATTTGGATGCAACTCTTCGAATGAAGATGTTACATGGATGTATTGAGAGTTTTTGACACTGGAAAGGGAAAGGACAAGAAGCACAGTTCTGCCAAGTCAGCAAAAAACTTTCCATTTCTCATTATCACTGTGAGTAGAAAAGGACTTCCAAAGGTAACCCTACCCTCCCTCCAGGGAGTAGAAACAAAAGCACAAGTCAGTGAAACACTCAGCATGCATAAAGGAAATCAAATTCAGAAGACAGGTTACTCAAAGGGACATAAGGGTATGAGGTATTTCTTCTAATCAGTTTGTCTGGGTAGTGGTGCACTCCACGTGCAATGCTGAGCGCCGCTGCCGTAAAGAGATCTCTGCCCCTAGTTACACTGCGTCTGCGGATATGCCACAGTTGATAAAGGGGGTTAATCTACATGATCTTTCAGTGACAAAAGCTAATGTTCCTACAGTTCGGGCCAAAGAGCTTCTTGTACCCAGAACGCTTCATTTCAGACATTACACATGCTTCATACGTCATCAGTAAAAACAATACTTACTGTAATAACTGGTCCAAGAAATCAACACATGAAAAGAAAGAGATACAGTACTTTAGTGAAAAAGGAATGTACAGCAACCATCACCCTCCTCCCCCTATCAGCAAAACAGGGACAACTTCAGCTTCCCAGGGGCTGCTGATGCTACTGAGGAAAAAACCACGGAAGTCGAGAAAAAGCAGCTAACGTCACCCCCCTTGCCACTGGAAATTCCCAGACTTGGAGAAACCCAGAGGAGCAGCAATTAATTATGTACTGCCATTTCTGCTCCCTGGACTCCAGCCAGCTGGATGAGAAGACGGAATAAGCATGTTCAGCTGACGGCATTTTACCAATCCTTTCTCAGCTTGCAGATAAGAAACCTCTCCCCAGCTCTGAAGCAAACACATGCTGAATTTGAGGCCAGTGCCGACCTCATCGCTCCCGCGTGCCGTAACCAGACCCTGTGCATCTCTACTGCTCGTGGTAACTAAACTCCCTGGGTAGTAAGGCTCAATTATTCAACACAGAAAAGCAATTAAAGATCCTGTAACAGTCAGCATCTGCTCTACCTGAGCCATCAGAGTACGTGAGCAATTCTGCTCTGAGAATAAGGATGCCTGAAGCCAGAGTTGAACTCTTCTCGTTTGTTCTGAAGTTTACCATCAGGGCTTTATTAAAAAGCAATTTTGTTTTAAAGGTAGTACTACAATTTGTGAGTTTCCCCCAACACCCTAAAGACAGTCCCATCCCTTATCACCTGTCATGCACATCCAGCTACCTTAACTGCCTCCTGCTGGGCCTTGCACTGCTCTAAACCCCTAACTATTTGAAAATTGCTTTTTACAGCAATTTAGAGATGGCTAATTATTTAGACTGACATGCTGGGGTGGAGGGAGAGAACAAGGAAGCAGAACTGAGGCTAATTTTTAAAAGGCTGAATTACAGCTCAAAGAACATTTCACAATTTCTGCAAGGAGTTTTTTTCCTGCTAGTCCACGCAAAATACTGAATAACCAGCAGTAATTATAAAACAGAGCCTTCCCACCTTCCCATGACAAACTACTTGGCCATGACTATGCACCATGACTGTGCAGCTGCCTTAAAACAGGTTTCTTCACCTTCCTAATTTCTTCTCTGTGGAGAAGACTCCTCATTTGTACAGCAAACAAATTAATCTCTTTGGAAATGTCCACGAGAACTTAGATGCTCAATTTGCCATAAATTACGGCCTGCACTTGAGGCGTTACAGCAGCAACTCCTACACATTTCAGCTGCAGTTGTAACTTCTCGATTTCTTGACATCTGGCCGCAGGCATCTCACGCTGACACCCAGAAGAGTGGAACATACATCAAATTGCTTTTCTAAAAACATTTAAGCAACATTAATATTTAAGTCAGAGTGCAGAAAAGAACCAAGAACACTCTTCTCCTTGGCACCAGCCCACAGTTATCACTGTTAGGTAATCCTCACTTCAGATTTTACTGTACAAGCTGTAAATCCATACAATGATAACCTCACTACAGTTCATACTCTCAAAGGAGGAAAGCCAGGCTTCCATTCAAAGTAGATAAACCCAACATCTTAGAGCACAAGCAAGCGTGCAGAATTGCAGGACGCTATAAACTAGGCATTTAGATTCCCTCAACCTGCAGTGCTGCTTTGATAAGGGTATATAATATGCATATTAAAGTAATAATCGAGCTTTTCAGAGGAGATACAAGGAAATGTAAGAAGGATGATCTCATATAATTAAAAAAAAAAACCACACAAGGCACAATTAACTAAAAGTACTGCTTTATTCAAACTTAAAAGGCTCTGTGATAGCTGCCGGTCGAGTAAGCAGTGCCCCAGAGAGCAGCACGCTAGTATCACCTCGGTACAGGAGGGCACAGGCAGCAGAACCACAAACTCCTACACCAACAAACCAGGCTTCTCGCTCTTCAGTTTCAAACTCCAGCGAGAGGAAACCAGCGTGGCATTTTCTGTTGCACAGAGATTCACATCAGGCCATCCAAGCCTTCTCACGTACGACCAAAATACCCATGCGTGTCCCAGAGTAAAAAGCTAATGCACGAGGCAGCCTACACCACCTACATGGGTGCGTCCCTCCTGCCCAGTGCGAGCAAGGGAAGGTTTCAGCAACTTCCCTGAGCTTTTCTTGACTCACGTCAGGCTGGCAGATTCTCTAAACAGATTTGTCAGCCTCCGCATAAAAACTGCCTTCTGCTCCAACCCCCACAACAAAGCCGTTTCTATCTCATATTACACTGGTGTTTATTACAGTTGAGGGTGGGGGTTTTTTTTGTTATGTTAGCATTTCTAGCATACCAAAATCTGAAATTTCTTGGATGCTGTTGGAAAGTCTTGTAGGTGATTTTAGCATCACATTTTTGCCACTGAAGTAGAACGTTAGCAGTGTGTGACTGAGGGATAAGCAGCTATGGGTGACAAAACACGCTAACTCTACCCCTGCTATGGGTGACAAAACACGCTAACTAGAGTTTGCTCTAGTTGTTTCAGAAACTGGTGGAGAAGGAAAAGAGAAGGAGACCACCAGGCATTATGTCTAAAAAAACCTACTGGAGCCAACTTAGATCTGTTTCCACAATTTCAAGGATTAATGAAAGAACAGGCTGTGTTTAAACCAGTTCAGTGTACTCCACATGGAAATAAACTAGACACGAGCTAACTGAATTAATATGCAGCAAGAAAACTGCACAAACATTAGAAACATAGGTTGCAGATAACTTTGCTTCAGCATCTTGAACTATGTGACACATCAAAAAACTATTCTGCAGCCGATGACAACAGTACTTGAATTTTGTATTTGAAATACCCATTCCACTACACTGCCGCACATATTTTCACATACTGAGGTAACATCACCCTCTCCCATTGCCAAGCTTTTTCCTGTTTTTAAAACACTTCAAAGAAGTTCTCTTAAGTAAATTGTTGAAAAATAAATTTTTCTATATTGAGTTTCCAGAACAGTTGGAAATTTTTAAGTTTACCGTTCCCATGGCAACTGTACCACTACCAAATAGCAGAAAATGTATCCTTCAAAGATACAAACAGCATAAAACACAGCAAAAAAATGCTACATAAGTTTGGAGGCAAAGTCAAATTTGCAGTTCCTACAGCAACAAAGACCAGAAAACCAGCAGTAGTTAAACACTGCAGCTGATAACTTCAGTAAGACACTAAACATTCCGTAGAAAATGAGGCTGACATGATTTCCCGACTTTGCAGAACTTCCTGAGCCTCCCTCCGGACTTCACAGATGGATTCGCTTTGCGCTTGTTGGATGGGATTTGGATCCCTGTGTCAAGTCCCCAGCCACAGAAGCAACTGTGGCTTTACCTGTTCCACCTTCACTAGCCTTGGATGCTGCGACTGAGCAAATACCCATCGCGTAACACTGCTGCTCCCATCAAACTGCACTAAGCAAGAGGCAACCAAGATCTTCCCTTTTCCCCTCCAGCATCTTCCTTTTTTTCCCCATCAAGCTATGCTGCACTTGAGTACATAAAATCATCCCTTGTACATTGATTTCACTAGTGTTACACATCTGCTCCCTTAGGACTAACGTCCATTTCTTGGTTTGTTCTTTTCCACCATCATTCATTAGCAGCACATCAAAATAGCACATTTATTTTAACTCCACAACGCTACAATTTGCTTTTCCTGACCACAGAAAGGGCTTAGAGAACAAAAATCTAAGGTAAGAGCTGAAACAGCTTTCCAACTGGTTACCTCCTTCATTACCCCCCACCCCATCCTCCCCCCTGCCCCCTAAGAAACCAACAACCCAGCAATCCACTGTCCCTCCCCATGCACTCACCAGTTCTGCAGTAGGGATAGGCATTCCATGCTTTTTCATGTATATTCAGAGCTCCCTCGGGGGCCAGCATTCTCACAAATGTTGGCACTTTGCTGCAAGTTTGGAAATGGGAAGGAAGGAATTGATGAGAACTAATGTACCGGGGAGCTGTGGCCCAGGCACGCCAAGACAGGCAGAGTATCACCTCAAATACGGACGCTAGAGTCTTGCACATGTGCACTCCAGTGGAATTGGCAGGGTTCTCCCCACCCCCAGTACAACGATTTCCAGAGACTGCTGAATTGGACAGGTTAATCTAAACCTTCTTTACATAATGAAAGAAAAAAAACAGGTGGTTGAAACCAGGTTGGTATCTAGGAGGTGTTTTGCTCTTCAGCCAAATTCAAGAACCAAAATAGTGGATTCTTTGCTTTGAAAAGCTCAGAGCCAGATTTTCTTGGGACAACAGCCAGGCTTGCAGGGGCAGATAGGTGTACCAGTGATGCTCACTTCCAGCTGTACCCCCTGCCAGCTGCTGTTACACACCTGCCTTACCCCTGGGTCTTTTCTGTCTCTGACTGACACAGTCACGGCAACCCTATTGCATCTACCTCCAGTTCCTCTTGCCCAAGCAACCTTGCCCGACTCTGGGAATAAAATGTTCCACGTACCTCTGTAAATGGTAGATCTTGTGTGTGTACTGCCCACGCTCTCCATCTCTTTCATAGGGTTCGTTCACCAGGACCTCCACTCCTTCACCGCCACCAGTTTCATTTTTACTGGCTTCTGCCACGGAATACAGCTGTCCCACTTGATACTAAAGAAGTTAAAGACACATTATTGTGATAGCTATACTTCAGCAGAAGTAATAACTTCACCAGTAGAAGCCAAGGATAAATTTATTATCTGAGGAAAAGGCAAGGAAAAGGACATCCACTTGTGTGTCCAGATAGCAGCTCATTTAATTTTATTCTGGTACAGAAAACTTGAGTGGTAGTTAGGAGGAAAGCACTGCCAATAGGATAGTTACCTGTAACGCTTAAATCTCAGGCTCCAAACCAACACAAATTGAAGAGAAAGTAACAGAATAATTAGCCTGAGTACGACATTTAAAGAAAAGGCAGGAGATGTCAGCCATACAGTAGCAAAATCCATTGTTTTTCAAGCGTTTTGGCACACAGGTGGCCCGATTGTTCAGGTCAAGTGGAGAAAAACGCACAGCCAGTCCTGAAGTAATAAACATATAGTACCTTCTCCAGAAAAATCCCAAAGAACTCCGCAGGAAGTTTTTTGACAAAATGGCAGCCTTATTTCCCAAGAATAACTCAAACTACTCCATACGACACAATCTCTTTCATACGAAGCATGCCCAGATGTTTCACAGGGAAGAGCAGAGGAAAACCAAGAACATGAGCACAATAGAACACGCTTCTCTGCAGAAGATGTAAAGACTGTTAGTCTTTACTCCTTTTGCCTTTGGTAGCTAAAAAAGCAGATGCAGAGCTCAAAAGAAATATGATCAAATGAAGAGAATTCACACAGGCCTCTTTGAGGCAAAGTTAAATGAACAGACAAGGTCTGAGGACGAAGAAGCTAAAGCACTAAGTCAAAAGGAAGTGCTCAAACTTAACAGAGCTAAGTCTTCAGAACGGAAAGCAAGCAAAACAGCAACTGCTGCCTAAGGCAGTATAGAGAGGCAGCCTGAAGGGGTAATCCATGAAGTGTTAGGCATCAGAAGTGCAGTGATTAAAAAAAAACCCCACACCAAATCCCAGAAAACCTCCAAAACATAACTACAAAGCATTGGAACACTCTTTAGGCCTTCTTCCTCTTCCCCTGCACACGGCTGGGCATCAGAATCAGGAATAGCACTTACCACTCCCTACACTGAAACGCAGGCTGGGAACGCGGAATACTGCTCAGAGCTGACAACCCAGAAATACCTCACGAGGCTGGTACATCTTCAGAAACGAAGGAAGATTTCTACGCTGGTTAAATTTTGTTGTCAGAGCATCCAAAATAAAACCAGTACCCAAGCTCTACAGTGTTTTGTACCATCTGGTGCTAACAAAGACCAAGAAAACTTTTATTCCTATTGGAAGAGCAGTAGATGGTAAGCCAAAGTAATAAGGCTAGATGGGGGCAGTTCCTCAGGGGCACCAGATTAACTCACCATTCCTCAGACCATCTGGGGCAGGGCAAAAAGTATCCCAGAGGGATTTAAACAAGTGCTCTATGCAGTCCCAAGTTCAACACGCAGGCATATTAAGTAAGCCTGAGTACTGTTAGACTATCCCTGAAAACAAAACCAAACCAACGGCCATCCAGTAAAAGCAATCTATAAGAAAAGCAACCTACAGATTGCTTCTGAGCTAAGAGCAACAGCCCTGCTGGTTCCCTCCAAAGGTCCAGGTTATACACGAACCCTCACAGTTCCTGCCCTTTCACCAGCAGATCGGATGTCAGGCTGGGTCTGGGGCTGCAGGACAACTCTCCGCCTTCTGACATTTCATACACTACATTGCTTTCCTTATGACTCCCTACAGATGACCCATACAAACCGGAATACTCACCTCCCTCCAGAAAACACGGACAGTTGTGAAATCTTGGAAGCAAGTTTAGTTCGCGGAGTAAGAGCCACACGTACACTCATAGAGAAGAACTTCTCAGGAGTTTGGCAACTACAGCATTCGAGGGGAGGACTGAATGGCTTTGACTGCTTTGCAGCAAGTCTCAGGACAGGTCTCCAGGGGCACAGACTAAGTCCTCTTAGTAACAGTCTCTCATTCATTCCTTCTCCCTTTTAAATACATGGGCCAAAGTTCAGACACTAAGATGATAAGCTCTTTGGTTCGGCATCTTCACCGATTAATCTTCCCTGTTATTTCTGATCCTTTAATCGCATTGATAAAGGAGATAAAGGCCCAAATAAAACTGTCGCTATCAACAAAACCCATGGCATCTGCCTGCAAAAGTTAACAGGAAAACAGATTCTGGCTCCATGAAGTCCAGAGTGTCCGGCAGACCCATCCTCGCACACCTGAGAGCTCCCAAAAACCTTCTCTTCTGCAGGAAGTTATCCCTCTCGATCTGTGCCACACCACCTCTTACACAGCTTACCTTCATTACACCAGATTTCTTTCAGAAGGCCTGATCTCAACGTAGCCATCTTCAAGAACAGCTATTCCCCTGAAAGCAGCTTTGAACACAACTAATAAATAAGAGTCCTTTGTGTTTGGCAAGCTCTTTCCCATGTGAGAGGAACAAAGAGGGAGCACAGAATGTGTACACACAGCTCTAATCCATACCAGCATTTCAAAGAGGCAGCTGGCAAGACACCCACACGGCCGCTCAAGTCCGTGCTCTCAAAGCGGGCCCCGTGCACCGTGGTGTTGCTCAGAGTACCAGCATGAAGGTTAGCACCTGCGACACAACAAGGTGGTTTTCTTTTTGCTGCCTGCAGTGCGACAACGTGCAGAACAACACAGGAGTGCAGCCTGCAGCCTGCACTCGAGCAGGACCACGTTCTGGCAGAGTTTCCTAGCAGAAGACAGTCTGCTACAGTCTAACTCCTACATCCCAGCCTTCAAGCTTTAGTCATCACCAGGGCTTCTCCTCCACTGTTTTGTTCCCATCTTAGCAGTTACTTGGCTAATTATTCAGCATCGATCTCTTCATCAAGTCGCATCTCCCCACTGTCTTCCTGATCACTGGTTTTCTTCTGAACTCCTTACTGTTGGTTAAGCTTCATTTGCTCGGGGTGAGGGGACTGCGCACAGAATGACACAGAAGACTCCCTCAGCCTTCTTACAATGCCTCAAAGTCATGATTAATTTCATTAATTAGATTACATATTGGCATAAGACTTTTGGCAGCAATTTACACACTCAAGGTGCGAACTCTCACGTCTTTTGAGCAAAAATTCCCCATACTGAAGTGAACTCAGAATTCCTCTGGCTAGCCAGAGATGTTTCACGAGCAGCTACAGGGTCAAGAGACACAAGTCTCCAGATCCAAGTTTAAGTGTTTTGTGCACAGAGAAATCCTGGAAAGCAATGAAGTTGCATCAGTTGTTTTGCAGTGCAGACAGCAGTGCAGTGACTGAGGGATGCACAGATGTGTCAGCATCTTTCCACTCAGGAAGGGAGAATGAGGCAATTCACAAAGCAGCAGGCATCCTTTGAGGCAATACTGGAAACAACCTTTCTCCCTAAGCTTACCTTTAAAACTGCCGTATCACATAAGTACATGTGCAAAGCTAAGCGAACTCCAGAACTCTTTCTGCTTAGGGAACTGTTTCCTGAAATCTGGCCCATCACGAGACCCACCAGACCTTGGAAAGGGGCATCATTCAGGGGACATGGTGACAACATGCAACTCTGGGGAGAAATTAAGTTTGGTCAAGTTGGCGGTCTACCCACAATCCAAGCACATTAAGGTGTTCTCTCCTCTATTTTCATTCCTTCTAATCATTTTTGTTTGCTCTTCACTTTACAGACTTATCAGTAGGTTACTCAATTCTCTGGAACTCCCCTGATCCAGAGGGGAGGAATACACATCCTTAAGCAAATGAACCCAGGGCGTCCTCAGACAAGGAGGTTGCTGGAGGCCAACAGATTTACGTACCGCCCGAAACCTCAATATTCCACACAGGCAGCCTACACACAAGGCTCAAACATGCTTGGCACTGAACAGTCAGCCAGGGAGGGAAAAGAGCATAGTGAGGGACTCGCTTTAACTGGATGAAGGTTAATCCTAGTATCAGAGAACTCAGAAAAACCCCATGCTGGGTTCCATCCAGACTAACCCCTTCAATGAAACAATCTGTATACTGATGCTTTGGCTTTCTCTTTACACAGCTGCTACCTAGGAGGCGTATCACTGTGAGGCAGGGCTCCTGCTATTCGTGCTAAGGTCTCACGTTGACTGAGCTCTGGAGTACCTTACCATTTACCCATGACTTTCTCTAACCAGCAGGTTTGCATCCATATCACATCAGCCCTTTCTTGGTCGAGGGCTTCCTCGCACAAGCAGCACTCAGGCACAGTAAAAGATCCAAACATACCTACTAATACTTCTGTTGGACTTCTCTTAAAACTGCTTGAAAGAGATGCTTGCAGAAAGCACAATCTACAGGTAAGAAGCAAGCAACAGATTTTTGGCATTAACATAGTAACTAGACCTACAAATCCTCCTCTGATCAGAGCTCCAAGCTTTCCGTCAACACGTGATGCCTGTCACAGCAGGCTGGTCCACATCGCTTTTCTCTTACTCCCAATCCCACGGCTGCAGGAATACACCACACCAAGTCCTGAACTGTGTTCCGTCCAAGGAGTAGGGTTATAAAAGGGGCATGTTTAAAACAGTGCTGCCGTGATCCAGCTCACCACTGTCTCTGTCACAGTAGCTGCTACGTTCGGAGGAAAGAAAAATGAACAAGAGCTCTCCGTAAGAGTCAGAACAAGCCCTTGACAAGAGCTCACAGACCAAAGGTTTACAGCCAAGGACCACAAGAAAAACAAAATACATCCAGAAGGAATCTACTACAGAAATGCTATAGATTCAGTCATTCCAGCTTCTCATCTACCTTGTTAGTATGAACATGAAAAAACTGAAAAGGCTTACATGGTCAGAATCTCTGCAAGAGTCTGTTCAGTGCAGAAGGGAGGAAGGAGAGGTAAGCTGCAACTCCCAGGGAAAACACCTGGGAGGGAATCAACCACAGGCTTCACACAGCTATTCCATGGCTAGCGTGGCAATCAAAATGACCAACTCCATTATAAACCACATTCCTTCTTCTACCGAAACCATTCTATGATCCAATTAGAGCTTTACTGAAACAAACCCAAAGTTTTCTTTCTGCAAAAGCTAAAGAAGACAGATCTTAAAGATTCCTAAGATATACAAAATCTTTCTTTTGCTGTACCAGCCTCACAAATCAGAAGAAATTGTTGCTCTTTGTGTAAGAGTTTAAATCAAAAGAGTTCCAGCAAAACACAGTTTAAAGGTAATTCAAATTTCTACTAAAGCTTCCTCTTTCTGTTGCAAAAAAGGAGAACTATAGTATTAATCAAAAGGAAACTGCACCTCAGAACAGTCTGACAAGTCAAGATTTGTAATCATCTGTAAGAACTTCATAGGAGAGAGTATCCGTACTCTCAGGCTCAAAAAAATTCAATCATTTGGTCAAAATTATGATGAATGAGTAATAGCACACAGGGGTCCTGAATACAGCTATATCCCTCTCTTAACATTTTCCAGTTTTTGTCCACACAAGTTGCTTTGATCACAAGTTTATTTACAGTCCTAAAGAAAGGAATCAACAAGAAAAGGACTTACCTCCTCCACAGACACAGGCAGGATAACACGGCTGAAAGGGAATACAGAAACAGAAAGTTAACACATACCCCTACAGCTGCAAAACTTCCAGGACATGTTCTCCACAGCACTGGCTACGCTGCTCTCCTCTCCCCCTTATATTCCAGCATCCACCTAGAGCTCGCAACCCTAGCACTTATCCTTCAGTCCCAAGACTATTCGTACAACAGCCTCAAAGAGAACCAACGCATGATAGATCACAATTGCAATCCTATACCAGAACTGTGGAGTTCCCATAGACCCTTACAACTTACCAGCCTACAAATCCGCACAGCATCAGAACAGTTGAATATTCCTTCTCACTACATCCTTGCAACAGTCACATCCTATCCCTCAGCTACGCTCTACAGCAACTTGACACGTGCTTCAGCAATTCTGCAGAGATCTGGGATGGTCACAAGCCATTGCAAGATTTATTGGTGTGTCCTATCCAGTAGGAAACAACGCTAAAGAGAGGACTATGCAGAAGGCTTTCTCAGAGCTGACCGTGAAAGGAGGTGTTGCCATTTCTATACATGAGTCACCTCGGTTTTTTCACATGGTGGTTTCCTGAACGCCTCTTGGAATCAACCGCCTGGACTACAAAGCAAAAACTGCCAGAAGTCACACAGATTCTTTTGAAAGAGACAGGAATAAAACTAATTGTAAAGCTGACCAAGATGCATGTGTGTTAAGGGCTTTAAAAATATTACATATATCTCCAAAACTCAATTTGTATTTGACCTCTGCTTTCAGTAAGGATGATGCTGAAACAAGGAATCAAGGCGAGATACAGATATGAAATGGATATTGCTACTGCAGATGGAAGAATTCCCAGTTCTTTGGATATTAGTCTCAAAGAAATTAGGATATAGAGGGATCAGAAAAAAAGTCCTCTTATTATTTATAAACTGATTTGAAAAAGCAAAACCAGTGAAAATTGTTTGGTTTGGGGTTTTTTTTCCTACGTTAGAGGAATGTTACCAGTAAGACACAACAGGACAAAATGTAAGAGGGGCAAAAGTTTACAGATTACACAAGACTACTTCTGACAGCAACTCTATGATGGCTGCAGAGTACTGCAGAAAAAGCTCCTGAGAACTGCAGATGAAGCTCAGTGTCAATAAAAGCAGAATAATGCATGATAGGCACTTCTTTTCCCCAAACATAAGGGGTTAATGAGGCTCAGATTAGCCAACAATGTCTTGGCGTCTTTATGGAAAAGGATCTGGAAACATCAGCTCAGTGGCAGTTCAAAAGGAAACACAACATCAGAAACTGGAACACCACACATACACACACACAGAGGGCAGTTATGCCATTATCATCTCTCGATGCACCAACATCTTGAATGTTGCATGTAGTTCTGGTCTCCCCATTTCAAAGAGGATACAGAACAAGTGCAGGAAGGCAAAAAAGGTGGTCAGAGATGGGAAAGAGCTTCTGCGTGAGATGAAAGTGGTTAGACCACGCTTTTCGGCTTGCAAGAAAAAACAGCTGAAGGTTTAAGACATGGAAGAACATTAGAGAATCAGGAATGGTGTGGAAAAGGGGATGGAGACGGAAAAACTACTATGTCTCACGACAGAACAATTCAGGACAGAGTAAAATCATTAGGCAGCAGATTTAAGACTAATCAAATGTACTTCTCTACATCGTGCACACTTAAGTTATGGGATTCCTTGCCAAACACAAGAAGTATAAGCGATTTTAAAAGGAGATTTGATCAATTCGTGGAAGTCCATATGCCATTTATTGGTATAATATACTGAACAACAATCATTCTGCTCACTATTTATATATTATTTCCTAAAAAATACCTGCTAGAAGGCAAGACAGAAGAGGACCTTTGGTCAATTCATTATTATTCCTTACATAAGGGAGAACAAAAACCAGAAAATGGATTTCCACAGGTAGACCATGCCGTCACGCATGACATTAGGTTAGTTAAGTAGATAAAACTACAGTAAGAATGAAAAGAGGGATAGGATGATAAGAAAAGACAAAAGACCCAGAAACAAGGAAGAAACAAATAGTTTACAATTTGTTTATGCTCACAAAGAATGCCGGGGGATGACTAACACTTACAGGTAGCTGAGTGATAAAGAAGGAGGAGGGAAGACTACTCAAGAGGATCCAGAGGAAAAGCTCCGCAGGAGCAGCAATGAGAACAAAGACTCCTAACTTTGGGACAGAGCTTGATCAACTTATGAGAAATTATAGTGTGGTTGCCTGCCACATCAAAGGCCTGAAAATGATGAACACTTAAGATCCCTCTTAGATTAAAATCTGCTTCAAATGACAGCAAAGGGAAGTACAGCTGCAGGGAAGGTCAGTGTCATTACCGTCACTTCACAGGAAAGGGAAGTGAGTCTCTACACTGATTCTCCTCAAGGTCTTCCAATGCAGTTTAAATCAAAACAGGGAGAGCAAGCAAGACCTCACCTAGCATTTACAAACCCTGCCACCAAAACAACAATCAAACAAATGAACAAAACCCACACAGTTTATCTGTGGGATGGATAGACAGAAATGAGAGATAAATCTGAAAGACTGCTAGGACATCCAATGAAAACGTTAAAGCTATCACTGCATAACCATCAGTACAAGAAACTGTACAGAAGAGATGTTAAAGACTGTCCGACAGTAAAAGCTGTGACATCAGATTTTTGTTATATTGCTCTATTTCTGTAACATCTCCTAAAATACCCATGAGGCACATCATAATACCCATCTGATTTAGTAGGGAGGATGTGACAAGGGGTCACAGAGATGGAAGAACAACCTGCTCAGATGACATGCAGTTACAGCTCACGTATTTTTACCACCTACACCAGGTAGGCAGTAAGGTACCTGTATGAGGCATCGGGGCAACCGGGACCAATAAAACAATAACAGCAAAGTAACTCAAATACCCAGCTCACACCAAAACAAGTAGTTTCTATATAACAACTGCTTCCTGGAACGCGAGTTTTAGTCAATGAAAAACACCTCCAAAGGCATGTAAAATGGGCAAGTTTCACATACAACATTAAGGAAGATTTAAACCAGAACCAATACAGTGACACAACTCCGAATGGGGAGCTGTTAGAGCTAGTTGGGAATCCCAAGAAGTAAAAACTAAATGTGAATTTCTGAAGTGCAGTAGCAACCTTGACTGTCCTTAGAACCACATAGGCTTTAATAAAAACACAAAGAAGGGAAGAAAAGAAATTGGACAATATAGCTAATGACGAGACTTAAAAGGTTTGGTAATCCTTCTGAAAATGGAAATGGAAACAAATTTAGTAATTCTGATCTTTTAACCTTTGTCTTAACATTTACACTTCTCATTTTGCTTCCGGAACAAGCCCCGTGAAAGACCATTAGATAGGCTGATTTGGTGAGGTAAGTGTTAAATGACTTTTGGAAATGATGCTCACCAAAATGAACCTTTCAGACGCTTAGAAACCTGAAAATTCAAAGTCCGTATGCTCCCATCTTTAGGAGATGCCCTGTAGGTAGCATAGCTCACTGCCAAGTGAGCTTTACTGCAGTACAGGCAAGAGATTGTAAGCAGAAGCAGGAAACAAGACACATGTGAACAGAAATAAACCAGACAGGTGCTGTGAAAGTACAATAACCAACTAAATTAATAGGAAAATATCAATGAAACAGAAGCTACAGAAGAACAAGTTAATTATCTTTTCATACACCTGAAACGAAGCACTTAGCAGATGGAAACCTGGGCTATCCTGTTTAACACTACAGAGGGTAACGGTGTCTCTATGTTAAAAAGGCCAGCTCTGCTGCTGCTCTCCAATTCTACACCCCTACTGTTGGATAAAAACAGCAAATGTTTAAGGATTGGTGAAAAAAAAAAAAAGAGAAAAAGTTAATCATCATTAGAGACAACTACAACGATCAGGGTAACCCTCAACATAGTCTTACTATTTAAATCCACACCGTGATCTGGCAAAGTAATTGCTGTAAGGAGGACACTGCCATGTAGGTAAACGTGTCTAAGACCTGAAAACCCACTTTATCACTGGGGTCACGGCTATCTTCTGTAGG